GTTTGTGTTTGTCTGATGGCACATCTAATCAGTTTCATTTGCTTTTCCACCCTCAGCTACAGAAAAGTGGTCTCCAATAACTGTACAGCTGGTGTGAGCGCAGAGTACACAGCCAGGAGGCAGCAGTGTCCTATCCAAGCACCCAAAGGTCTCCACCTGGTTACCAGTGAGGGTTCGCTGACAGCCGTGTTAGGCACCAATGTCACCTTTCTTGTTTTTCTGGAGGAGGTGAGCTGTATCCAACGTTTCCCATGAAGTCACACAGAGTCAGTGTCATTATATTTACAGTGTAAATATTAGTGGATTGTTTCAAATGTACAGTCAGATTGGAGATGGCTATCTGGGTTGTTTCTATAGCAACACCAGCATCCTCAGCTGCGACTGTGCTGTATCCTCTCATATTTCCCTGTGTTCACACTCTAAACTAAACGTACATGTTTAAAGGGAGAAAAATTCCCTTTTTTTTTGCTGTTTATGACCAAAAGTACTCACATACTTTGACATAGTTACACATCAACACTTCCAGAGAAGCGCACACAGTTATTAGTGATGCTAAGAGGTGTTGTCGTAGTAGTAGTGTTAGGCTCATCATCATTGAAAACAAAGAAGATACTCAGACAGGGACTGCCGACCTGAATGCAGTAGCACAGTTTCTCTTAGGTGGGACTTCTTTGTGTATATACTCAGCTGTGCAGATTGTCTTTATTTTTAAATGCAGATCATAAAGCAAAGTAATTAAAGTAATTAATGACACTGACTTTGTTAGCAAGAGTGACTTTCTATTTGTTTCCACTGTCTGAACACAACATTCTGGGAAAAAAACCCATTTTTTTTCCATGTATAGAAAAGTAGAACGACATTTACATTTAACTGCTATCTGCTGTAGTGAAACTCTTATATCTGGAAATTATCCTCTGTCCTCTGAGAGGGTGACAGCGTCTGCATGTAAAGGCAGCAGATCGTGACCTGTGCTCCTGTTGGAAAAAGTCGACAGTGTGCAAACTGTGACTCACAGTGTCTTTTACAAGCATCCGTACA